GTTAGGTTAATGGTTGGACTCAATGATCTTAAAGGTCTTTTCCACCCTAAATGATGCTATGATTCTATCTTGAGACTTTTTTCCTTTTAGATATTTTGGAGGCTCAGATGAGCGCTGGCAATGGTGCATGGCTGGGCACAGGGGTAAAGTTTGCCATCTCTCACACCGCTTGAGCATTTCTGAGGGTGGGAGGTGGCAGGCTGAGAGCTCACCTGTGGTTTCTGTTGGAACTTAGGTTTTAAGATTTTAGATTTTTATTTGTGGAAAAACCATGCTGTAGATGTTCTTGATGCAGAGAGCAGGAAGCAGTAACAGAAAAGATCGCATTTAATTTTTAGTCCTTTGCTCTCTCATAGTCACCCTGTCCAGAGTCATGCACTCGTCTCTGGCGGTGTTCAGTGAAGGCAGAAGCATCTCTTAAGGCATTGGTGGCAGGGAGCACGTTGTACAACATCACCACCGGCAGCGGTGCTGGTCCGGAACGGTGATAAACCCCCCGTTTGCCTTGCTGACCGAGGAAGCGATGAGAAACATAACCAGAGTTTGTAAGAACATACATGGAAGCTTTTTCATACAAGCTGGGAGCACCCTGCGCTCTGTCCTTTTCTGCGCAGCAAAATGCTCCCAGTTTCAGTCTCACGCTAAACATTAACTCCCTGCGGGCTTATCTAATCCCTGTCAATGCCCAGTGCCAGAGGGCCTGGGGAGGTCATCTGGCCCTTTCTCCTGCCCTGCAGCAGGATCAGCAAGGTGCTTGTCTAAGGTTCTCCAGTGGTGGATTGCCTCCTTTCCAAGGAACCTGTTCAAGTGCTGAACGCCTTCCTGGTAGACTTTTTAAAACACGTCTAACCTAAACATTCATAGCCAAGATTAATATACAAGTTATATATACAATATACAATAGCTTGTCAGAATTCAAGGAGCGTCTGGATGACCCTCTTAGTCATATGGTTTAGTTTTAGGTAGTCCTGCGAGGAGCAGGGAGTTGGACTCGATGATCCTTATGGGTCCCTTCCAACTTGAGATACTCTATGATTCTATGATTCTTCGAAGTTTTCCAGCTGATGCATATCAGTGGGACTCTGATGATTTATGTCAGTTTTGAGAGAGATTTGGATGATCTAGAAAGGGAGGAAGGAAGGAAGCGAAGGTGAATGGGTGCATCACATTTTACAGGAAACATTTTCTTTTCCGTACTTCTTGAGTAGACCACCCTCTCTCCAAAGTGGGTGATAAATCTGCATTCACTCTTTGCAGAATTATGAAGTAACTGTATTTCCTAGAGTGATCTGTGATCGCTCCTGGCACCTGTGACTGTAGGCTATGTCAGAAATAGGAAACAGCCTTCGCTTTAGATTTCTGAGTGATTTTCTGAGCTCAGTGTATGCAGCAGCAATTGCTTCTACACAGAGCACCGTCCCCAACCTGGGTTCCTCCTTTCCAGCTGATTCATGCAGTGCTGGCACTTGGGTCGGCTCATGGTTCCTTGCATTGGCTTTGCTGGATTTGCAAACACCTGTAGGAGGACTTAGAATCATAGAATCATTGAGGTTGGAAAAGACCTCTAAGATCATCGAGTCCAACCGTCAACCCAACACCAC